GAGATAATTTATGCTTGCTCTTCAGGGAGAATTGGAGATTCAGTGGGCATTCAACTGTGAATTCAATGCGAAATACCCAGTCCTAAGTAGAACGCAACAGGGAATTCCCAGGAGGAGCCAGGGGCCCTAGCAAATCAGCGGAAAGAAGCTAAGTTCGAGTTTGAACTATAGATAGATAAAGAAACAAGAGCTCGAGGGGAAATACTCAAAATAGCGGCATTAAATTTACTGTGCGTCGGCTTGTAGTCAAGTTCACGACGACTCCACTGAAATGATGACGTTTTAACAACTTCCAACTGTCATAAAAATTATCCCAACATTCCGCCTTGTTCACTGGGAATAGCGTGGAAAAAAAATATTACCGAGGGCAATTTAATAGCTCTCATTTATTGCTAGTCGATAATGAGGCATAAATAAAGGAGCTGTAATTTTTTTTTGCCCGGAATCGATCAAAAAATTTTTCACACCGTGATGGAAAAGGGAGGAATTCTTCTAAGGGTGGTAAGTGTTTGATGAACACTGTCAGATGATGACATCCACTGCCCTTTACCTTCACTTTGAGGATCCCTCGAGGACGGGCTTTTACTGTACAATTAAACTTTCGTACGTTTCTTGAGGACATATCTCCCCAGGGAATTGCCCATCCAACCTCGTCAAAACGTCATGAAGCACAGAAAAATACCAGTATCCGCTGTGTTTATCATTTTTTTTGCCTAATTTTCGACAGGATTTATTGGCGATTCTCATGTTCTCAAGTTTTAAGGATTTCGCAATAGACAATTCAGAATTTTAGAAAAAAATTGAGGGAAGTCGAATTTTAGGTCAACTATTACATCATGAAAGTCCCAATTTACTAATTTGTGTTTAACTCAGTGGAAAGGTATCAGCCAGGATGACACAACTGCTTTTATGTGTTTTGTCTGTTTGCGTATCCAATTGGTGAATAGTCGAAGATTTTTCAAGACAAAGGCAAATGAAATGTCATCAATAAATACGAGTGAAGCGCTATGCGTGCGAAAAGATGAATAAATTTATTGCAATAAAAAAATTCTAGTGAATGTATGACTAAATTTCATAGCAACAAGTTTTCATGCTGGTAACACATTATAATTCCATTACACTGTCGAGAAAACTGGAAATTATTGATTTTCCACCAAGAGCCGACAAGATATTCCGCAAAATTTTCAGATTTCTCAACTACCTATTACTCAAATACTTGAAACTTCCTGAAATCATCAGTAAAACCAGAAATTCTCGGACTTCCCCCGAAAATGCCTGAAGACCTCGGCGCACCGCGATAAAAATTGATAAATTTTCAAAAATTTTCCAAGTGAACCCTCAGATTCGCTGATGCGTTAAGATCGAGATGGAACCAAGAGAAATTCTCTCCAGTGCCGTTGAAATGAGGAGAGAGAGAGAGAGAGAGAGAGAGAGAGAGAGGTGGAAAGGAATAAATCGGCGTCGGCGTCGGCGTCGGCGTCGGTGGTGGTAGAACTTGGAGTGGAAGTGAGGAGGATAGAGTTAAAAGAGGGACACGGTCGGGCCGTGGGGTGGGGCCGGTGTTCTCGTGGAGTCGTTGGTGAGGGGTACCCGGGGTGAAACCGAGTGAGTGAGATGGCGTACTGTCCGCGATCAATATACCAAAATACACCGGCAACCCACCACCAACACATCGGCAATCTTCTGCACGTATATGCACCCCACCACATAAAATTTGCCTTACATACACGTAGAGTACGCGCGCGCACCAGAGCCAGCCGGTAGCCACGCATGCAGGAAGTATCCACCAAACCAACCACCACCTCTCTATGCTAAACTAAACTCGATGTAGGCTATGTCAAAAAGACTTTCCCAAAATCCCCAAAACACCCGTAAATTCAATTTCACCTGCACATTGAAAAATATATATGTATATATACATATATATATACAACCCAATTATTGAACATGTAATGGAACAACAGACGAGGATGGAGGATGGTTGAGGATTTTACTTTCGAGATGCAAAGAGCGATGCCCCGAAGGCCCCAGCTTGGCGTCCCTGCCGCACGCTGCTTCACGCTAAAACATACAAGTGAACACCAACAGAGACAGACCCGCAAAATAATGTTAAATACGAATAGAACGAGTGGGTGAAAATGTTGAGTCGTATGTGTCGACGCTGGGGTCACGGTTCCTACATCCTACCAACCGCCATCTTGGCTTGCACGCATATACCACACATGTCATTCACTATCCCAGAGAAATAAATAATCAACAGAAGCTCAACAGCTCACCCGACATATGCTATGCCTGTTCTCGTAACTTCCATAGTCCCGTGAAAAATTGTGTGAAATCATTCCAATTCTTAAGTTCAAATGAATAATCGAATGAATCGATGGAGATTTTCGCAAAAATTGTGAGAAAAACCACATAAAAATGAAAAATCTGTACAATAATGAAGACAATTGCCGAAAATTCATTCGCCGATAAACTTCAGGAGGTCTATAATAGAAAAAAATTGTGAGAGGATATTAAAATTATCGAATGCACAAAATAATCATGAGCATCGGCCCTCTCCCCGTCCGAGCGTTTAATATCGCCAGCTGGCACGTGAAACGGCAATGTACTGTCTGGCATTGCCTCCTAAACTCCGTCCCGTCGCATATTCGACCGCCGACTGAATTTCGTACAACCGCCAGTGTTAGTCAAACACCCATCCATTCGTATTCTCTAAATAATTCCCTATTCATTCCCTAAAAATCTCGAAAAAAGGGAAATTCTCCTCCCACCGCACCACCCGATTCCGTAATTATCCCAATCCCCATGGTTTCACCCATCCATCGGACACCCTCGATCAAAGACACCATCGAATTAAACCCCCAAGGGCAAAAGGGCACAGCCCATGGTCCAATCAAGAACTCGAGTTCCCACTGAACCTCAAGTTTAGCCATTTCGTGAATCCCTTGATGGAGAGCCTAGATCACCTGAAACTCGAGGAAAAATGAAAGACCAAATGAAAAAAAAAGGCAGACAAAAACTACCAACAGTTCGTTGGACGGAGTCCCGAAGAAAATGAAGAAAGCAACGAGCAAAATCCATCGACATACCGAATAAAACAAGGAACGAGGTGGGATCCCCGGGTTGAGTTGCACTGGCCGGTGTCACCGTTAGAGTTCTCTTTTTCCCCACCCCAGAATCTGCCACCATCTTGCTCCTGTCCCTCAGACATTTGCAACCATCTCACTTCCCCCAATCGTCCGGAGTTTATAACACACATAGATTTCCAATATTACGCAAACGATAAAAATCGGACCAGAATATGCGTCACAGCGTACACGAGGCGCATTAAACTCCACCCAACGATTCACATCGTCCGAAAAATTCGCAATATTTTTACCCACCTCTCCCACAGACTTGATATTATTTTCCAATTCCAACCCAAGAATGCCTCCAGTGAGGTGGAATTGGAGGTCAGGTATCCCCAGAGTGAGTGCCACTGTCGAACAATAACTTCGTGCCGCCGCGAGGCTCTCAAAATGGCTGTCCCCTGCTATTATTACTTCGAGAAGAGAGAACGAGAGAGAGAGAGAGAGAAAGAGAGAAAAAACACATGAGAGAAGCCCTGCATATATCTCTCTCTTTTCTCCCGACTACTAACACGCTACGAGGCAGGAATAATGATAATAATGACGAGTAGAAAACAAATAAGACGGGAATGCCCCATACAAGAGGGCAATGTATTTGTAGAGGTTTGCACTTATAAGTGCGCGCCGAAAATTTCCAACGATTATTTCCCTCCCCTCGTCATTGCATTGCCACTGGTGCAGTTCTCACAGGAGGTCCTGGACAATTCTTGGAAAGCTAAATAATAGCGGTGATTCCATCCCTCCTGTTTGTTTTTACCATCGATCACGAATGCACGGTATTTTGTGCTTGAAAAATTCATCATTTCGTTAATATTACAGGGAAATTGCACTCCCATGCGAAGTACTACTTTTTTATTCGTAATCATCGGGGCGTTACCCCCAGGATAACCACTGTATTCAATGATTAAAGGCGTGAGCAACGATAAAATCAGACAATTCCAAGTTTTCTAGGAGATGGGGTGAAATGAACCTGAGATCATGGGTAAATGTCTAAAATATCATTTTCAAGATTTCAGGAATTTCCTGGATGCCTGTATATTCAAGTTTTCAATTAAGAATCAGCTATTTCCTGTGGAATAGCAAAGAACGCCGACACTGTCAGATGATCTTGATAATATATTCAATAACTGAACTTGTGCTACATACTATAAACTATTATAGAGACGAACGTTCACGAATAATTAATCAATGGGCTGAAATATTCTGATCATTTCGAGGATTTAGTTGATACTTCATGAAGATCACATTCTCGGATAGAATGTTACCTTTTCGAGGTGTTCAATGATTTAGCCTGAGTACAATGATAAAAACAAACATCTTATGAACTTTCAATCGCCAAAAGAGTAAAATGACCGAATTGCCCTATTCCTTCAACTATAACTTCATTCGGAAATTTTAATAATCCTTGTAAACAAAAATAAAATTGTCATAATTCCCCTAAACAGTGGAAACTGTTGGATTGAAATTACACCAGTGTAAAATCCCATTTTTCTTTGCGTAATCATCGGGGCGTTACCCACAGGAAAACCACTGTACTCAATGATTAAACCCGAGTGCAATGATAAAAACAATAAATTCCCCTTTTCACATAAACACGGATTCGATACGGTGACCATTGTAATAAACCTCAAATCACCATGACATCCTAAAGAAACGATTAAAACAAATATTAAAGTCCAACTTGTCGCGATAACAAAAGTCCCACCCTACCCCTCTCATTTAACGAGGGACAAATTAATGTTCATTAACAAGGGCAACTGCCTCGCTGGAATAACCATTGCTAACGACTCCAGGGGCGTCCCCAAGTAAACAAAAATCTATCAAGAGAAAAAAAAAGGAGAAATAACTGAAAGAGGGATGTGAATAGCTTACCTTTTGAAATGCTCTCTTATGCGATCCTCTCGGATGTTTTCCGGCAGATTTCCAACCCACAGGTGACGTGTCTCTCTAACCATTTTGCTCCGAACTCTTCATTTGGGATCGGATGTTGTGTTATCGTTTGGGCGGCACTGTACAACGACACACAACTCTGATATAACACTCGAAAATAAATATTTCTTTCTCTCCTTATCGAAACCACGATTAACTTATTTTCTTTTTTCTCATTCAATTAATTTCCGAAGGGTCGATCACTTCACAAATCACTCACTGAATATTTTTCAACAATAAAATAATAATAAACGAACTGAAATGAAGGGGATTAAACGATTTGTATTGGGTGACTATCGTTTCAACTGCTAAAGCACGCACATTTGTCGAATAAATTCCGTAATGGTGAACTTGTTTACTTATTCCATAGACGACGATATTCCTTCTTTCACTACTTTTGATGATGGGGTGAGGGTGGGGGGTGG